AAGAGCGTGTAGTGCCACTGTGGGCTTGCTGCCGAGGCCCCCTCTTTCCTCAGATCCGTGAGGAAGCCCACTACTCAAATCCCAGCCTGCCCCTGATGCAGATGCACCCCCCAGGCCACGCCAAAGCCCCAGTGCAGGCCCCAGCCGAGCCCATGCCCACCTATGAGACAGGCCAGCGGAAGCGTCTCATCTCCTCCGTGGATGACTTCACAGAGTTTGTGTGAGACTGTGATGCTTTGGACATGCCCAGGGTTCCTTGTGGATGCCGTCTGAGCAGCCACACTACTGGACCTTCTCAGTCCCCTACAAGGCACTGGGCAGTATGTGTGAACGTGAATAAAATGGTTGTGTGGCCCAGTCCTGCTGCTGTGCCCACTCGCTCTCAATAGTCAAACACAGACACAGCTAGTGGTCAGCCAACTCATTTATTTGACTTTGTCTGTTGGGGGTAGGGGCAGGATCAAGGCTGTAGCTTTGGCTATGGCCACAGAAGCGGTACAGGGGGATTGTTGGGCTGCCATCAAGGCCTGATCCCTTCAGGGAAGCCTCACACACGCACTCTCACACTCACCTTCCCCAGTCCCAGGAGCCAGCCCCAGGGAGGGGGTCTTACCCTCAACCACCCTGGGCTCCTCTGCCACACACTAGTCCTGTTCCTAATCTAGACCCAACACCAGCAGGCCTAGGCCTGGCCTTGAGCAGGGCAGGAGAACAAGGCCATGGTGGTGATAAGAACTGCCTAGGGGGCAGCTGTGCCCTCCAACAACTGTATGTCCAAGCACCTGCTTGAGGCCAGGCTTGGACCCAAGAAGCAGCTGTCACTTCCTACATCCCGGGCCATTTAGGCAGGTGTCTGGGGAGGCCAGCTCTATAGTCCCAGCTTCCCCTCAATGCAGGTTACAGTGGGCATGGGGCTGTGTCAGTGACCAGGCCCCTCGGCCCTAGTGAAAAATACAGCGACGTACAAAAATATATACATTTTGACCCCATATAAATTATTGACGATAGACACACAGATGGCAGCTGGAAGTGAGTACACTCAGCAGGGAACAGGAGAGGTAATAACTTAGGGGGAGGGTATTGGGGGTGCAGGTTTCCTCCCCGCAGCCTGGATCCTTAGCAAGGGGAAGATGTTTGCCCAGGAAGTGGGGCCGGGCACAGCCCGCTGTACCTGAGGACTCGGGAAATAAATTAGTGTCTCAGAGGCTGGGCACTTGGTCCAATACTGCTGTGTCCTCCCACAGGGAGCCGGGGAGGGAACCCTGGGTCCTAGATGGCCACATGGCCTCTTTAAAGTGCTGAAGCCCACAGAGAGACTCAGACAAGTGTTGCCCGCTCTCTGGGGGACCTGTGTGCAGCTGTTCTGCTCAGCCCAACCATGAGGGCAGCAGAAAGTAATACTGAGTGGTGTCTCTCTGGCTCCAAGAGGCCAAAGAAAAGCCACAGGCCTACCCTGGAGAAGGGGCATGAGCTCAGCCCCGCTGGGGCTAAGTGCTGCTGGGGTGGACCTTGTTTTTGGCCCGCAGAGAAGCCCTGCTGGGGCCTGTAGCCAGGCCAATGCCTCGACTGGCCCGGGCAAGGCGAGTGGTTAGGGCTGGCCGAAGCCCTGGGGAGAGGCCAGCAGGAGGCGAGGCTGGGGGCCGGCTACTCCTGCGGCCGCGCAAGCTCTGTAGCCGCTGCTCCAGCTGGTAGACATCCTCCGTAGCCTGGTTGAGTCGGTCAAACTGGGTGAGCAGGGCCTCAAACACAGCTTGGAGGCGGGAGGGCTCGGGATCCCCCCGTGGCCCAGGCCGGCCCAGGCCCGCACTCAGCCCCTCCAGCTGGCTGGAAGAGGTGGAGGGGCGCGAGGCATCAGAGTCCCCGCTAGGTGGGGGCATGTCCGGGGATGACTTAGAGCCCCTGGATGAGCGAGAGGGCAGCGGCTCCATCCCTTCAAAGCGAACTTTGTGGCGGAACTGGGGGCGGCACAGGGGCTCGGTCAGTCCGGCTGCACCCTGGGCTCACCTGGGCCCAGGGCGCGTCCCTCTCCCCCCCACTGGGCCGTACCCACCTCCTTGACCTTGCTGAAGCCCATCCAGAGGCGTAGCCTGCGTAATAACAGCTCGACCATCTCATAGTCCTGAGGTTCCCAGGCTGGGCGGTAAAGCTCCCCACGCAAAGTGTGGTACCTCCACCGCAGAAGGGCCGCTCCCAGCCTCAGGGCACCCCATAGGCGCAGTGCCCAGAGCCCGGTGCACAGAAGGGGGGACAGGCGCCAGGACTCGGCAGGGCACAGGGCGGGACCCCCAGCCCCTGGGCACAGCACCCAGAGGGCCTGGGCAGCACTCTGAAGTGAGTCCACACAGGACGATACCAGCTGCAGGGAAGGTGGTAGGAGTAAGGGGTGTGCCCGGAACTAAGCCTCCCCCCAGGGACCCATAATCACCTACCAGAACAGCCAGCTGGACGTAGGCCACAGCGAGCACCACCAAGCCTAAGGCTGCTCCCAGGAGCTCCGGCAGGGCCCGGCACAGTGTCTTCCCAAAAACCGACCACTGACGCACAAAGCGCAGTTGCTGGGCGGCCTGTGGGCAAGAGACGTCAGGCGACCAACCCTGGCCCAGCCCTCCCAGCCCCACCCCGGCCTGCGGGGCTGGCCCTCACCTTGACCAAGAGCAGGAAGAGCAAAGAGGCGGCCAGGCCCCGGGCCGCGGCGCTCAGCTGTGCGACCTGCTCAAAGCTGGTGAAACGGCGCGGACGACGGCGCACGAAGCGCGTCCACTGGCTATCGGCGGCGCCTAGCTGGGCCAGGCGCACGAGCGCCGCTGCTGCAGTCAGCACCACCAGCAGCCACCGCGCCCAGGCCCCAGGCCGCACCATGCGCACACGCCCCTCCCTACGCCAGGCACGCACTTCCGCCAAAGAGAAGTACAGCGCGAACAGCAGCAGGCTCACCTGCGGGGGCGGGGCCGGGTCAGGACGCACTGGGGGTGGGGCGTGCTCAGTATTCCCTCTGCTGGGGTCAAGGCGGGGGTGGGGCTGAGGGGATGGGCCGGATATGGATGCACCGGGGGAGGGGCCGAGAGGGTGGAGCATACCGTGGTGAGCAGCGGCAGCGAGAGGCCAGCGCTCAGGCGCCGCAGTGCAAATGGGCGGACGCTGAGGGCTGCCACCGCGCGTCCAGCCACAGGGAACTCCAGGCGCAGTGTGACGGCGGCGTGCAGCCCCACGGCCGGGCTGTAGCGCGTGAGCTCCACGAACACGGCGCGGCTTCTGTGCAGAAAGCAGAGATGAGGGGCGGGGCCTCCCGTAGCAAGGGTTGCATAAACTGGGGAGGAAGGCCGCTTCCAGACTGAGCGGGAACAGCAAAGCTGGGGGGTGGGAGTAAACTGGGACCACTGATGGAGGAGGGACACTGATGAAGGGGACCGTCGAGGGCCAGGTAGACAGTGGCAGAATGAGGCAGCCTATCTCCTGCGCGTCACCTGTTGTCGATCCAGTTGTGCAGCTGGAGGAAGCCCAGCTGTGCGCGGCTCTCTTCCAGGCTCAGTCCCAGCTCCTGCACGTAGCCCCCGCTGTCATACACGGCGCAGTACCCCCAGTACCAGACGCTGCAGGTGAGAGGGGCAGTGTTAGAGATAGCCCAGCCCTACAGGAACTTGGGAGTCATGCTAGCTGGGGCAAGGAGACTCTTTGGGAGAACTCTCCAGGCCCTCCCTCTGTGCTCACCCTAGCAGGTCTGGTGTGGAGTAGGCCCACGTCTTAGAGCTGTTGTGGACAGCACTCCCCCAGCCAATGCCATAGTCGCTGGTGCTGAAGCCGCCTGAGGATGCTGAGCATGCATGCACTCCTGTGCCAGGAGGGTCTGGGCAGAGTGCTGAAAGCAGAGGGCTTGAGAGTGATGACCAAACCAGGGGCACTTACTGTTAAGCTCAGTCACCTGGGCTGAGCTCCACATGATCTCCCTGAACACTCCCAGCAACCCTGAAGGTAGATGTCATGATCTCACTGACATAAGGAAACTCAGGCAGGGAAAGGGCAAAGATCACACTGCTAGGGAGATGAACCCGAACCCAAAGGCTTCTTTAGAAAAGATCAGGGACAAGTACCAGAGCGTCCCCCAGCTCACCTTCCTGCAGCCGCACCTGCCGCAACCGTGGGGGCCCAAGCTCTGGGCTGGACTGGTTCCCGTGGACGTATGGGAGCAGTACATGGGACATCCATGGCCAGAACTCATCAGTCCTACCCACACCAAACAGAGTCACATGTTCCACCCCTCAGCTCCCTGCACTGCTGGGGGTCAGAGGCCCAGGGAGCACAACTACTGCAGCCTTGGCTCAGCCCATAGGAGGCTGCCAGTGCTGCCTGAGGGGACAAGGAAGGACCTGGTTCCTCAACCACGGACTACTGATGTCTGGTGGCGGACAACTCTATTTTGGGCTGCCCTGGGAACAACAAGATGTTTAGCAATATCTCTAGTCTCTATTCATTGCCATAAAGCACCCATTCCAGTCCCAATCAAAAATATATCAAGATTCCTCCCAATGTCCCCTGGGGGCTCGGCTGGACCAAGGGCAGGATTAAGATGGATCGTGGTCGGCATCAGCACTGCCCTGGCCCAGCAGACAGATGTGTACATGTGTACAGGGGTATCCCTACCGGGTGATGGCCAGGAAGGCCCGGCTGTCTAGCTCCTGCCTGATGGCGCTTTGCAGGCGGTAAGCATGGCTGTGGCATGAAGCATCCCCGTAGTTGGCCAGTAGCGTCACCAGTAGGAAAAGCATGTATACCAGGAGGCTCTGGAGGGAAAGGGACAGCCTTGGGGTCAGCTCATCACAGCCTGGCCACTGTAACATGGCAGGGCTTCTGGACAGCAAACTGTCCATAGCCAGGGTGCCTGGCACTGAGAGCAGCATAGATACCTTGCCAACACCCCAGCCGGGGACAGACATGCTGTCTACTAAGGCCAAGGAAGCCATGCCCAGGTAACTAGAGCTGGACACGAGAAGGGGCAGAGCAAGAACTAGGGGCAGTAGAAGTCGGGGTAATGGGAGTCAGGCCAGGGCTGCAGAGCCCTAGACCACCTTTGGTGGAGAGGAACAGGTGCATGTGAGGTTTTTGAGAAGAGCAGGACCTCTAGGAAGAGGCTACACTGGCCAGGAGGTGGAGCATGCGGGCAGGTGCTGGCCATGACAGCCTGAGCTTACCTTCAGCATCCCATGCAGCCTCTTGACCTTTCGGGCTTCTTCCTTTGCCAGAAAGAGTGCAAAGCCGTGGGGTGGCCGCACTCGGGGCACACGTTCACTCACAGGTGTCACAGCTGGGCTCTCCACCAGAGTGTCATCCTCATCAGGGTGAAGCCTCTTGGCCACCAGTGAGAAGTACAAGGCTTCCAGCAGGACCTGGGCCAGGGGTGGCATCAGAAGGGCCCACAAGTGCCAGAGGCTGACAGCCTGGCCCTCCTGCATCCTACTCACCTTGAGTGGCTCCCAGCCAAGAAATGAGGCCAGGAAGCTGGAGCTGCTTGAGAGGAGCCACATGACACTCACGCCAGGGGGAAAGCTGGCACCGACCCACCCTGAGACCCCTACGGCCACAGCCACCAGTAGGAGGCTGAGCACATGGGCCAGGAGTGTACACCAGGCCGGCAGCAACTGCTTCCGCAGACCTTCCACCAGCCCTGGGGAGGCAGAGACAGACAGGTGACTGGCAGCCCAGAGGGAAAGACAGGGAGGGGCATCCTAGAGGACACAGAAGCACACCTGTCCTGGAGAGCTTTGCTGACTGGGGCTGCTCCCAGGTCAGGCCCAGGCTGGACAGCCCCCTCTCACCCAGCCTCTGCAGCATCAGGGTCTCGGTCTTCTCCCCAGGAGCGCTGGACCTAAGGCACGGGAGGAGGGAGAGGCCAGCACTCACCTGTCAGCCTGCACGCTGCCCACCTCATCTGTGGGCCTGTGCCTCCCACACCCAGGGCAGGAAGTCATGTCAGCCTGTCCCTCTATACTCCTCACTTCCTGCTCACTACAGGACTTCGCCCCACATCTCTGTGACCTTTCCACCTCTCTCCTGTCCTGCCACCACTCCAGCAGCCATTGCCTCTCACAGCACAGCCTCCAGCCTCATCCCATTGCCTACACTTCACACCAGCAAACTATGTCTTGCTCCCAGTGAGCACTCCCCATGCCTTGGGCCCTTCCCCTCAACCTCCCTGCTGCACACATAGTACACAAAGCATCCCTGTGCTGATGCAGGTTTGTAAACTAAGGCTAATTTGGACAAGGACACGTGTATGTCTTTCAGATTCCAATACTACACAGTGCTCCATAGGACCCAGAGAGCAGCCGCCCTTCCCAGCTCCAGAGCTGCACCCCTAGAGAGAGGAAGGGGGAGAAAGAGAAGCAAGACTGGGACAAGCACTTGCTGAGGAGACAGTGCACACACTTGGGGGCAGGGGGCGGTCCGCAGGTTGTGCCGATTACGGAAGCAGAAGAGAACAGGCTCCCAAATCCCAGTACGTGTCTGCTGCCACTGAGCTACGCTGTTTCTGGTTTGTGAATCTAGAGAATAAAAGACACTACCATCTATGGATGTGGGAGATGACAGAGATAACATTTTTTTTTTCTTAAAATGGACTTTTCTGATTATAAAAGTAGCATAAACTATTTGTAAAAAATAGGGTAATAATAGAGACCAGATATTTAACATCGGCATTTCCATCATGCAACGGACAGCAGTGTTAATAGTTATTTTAGTCCCTTTTCTATATGCACATGTTTGTATTTTACATGTAAGTATAAACATGTTATATCAAGTCGATACAGCATAGAGTACATGGAATTTTACATTAGACTCTAAGCTACATGAGAGCGAAGACTATGTTATTTAATAACATTCACCAATTCCTTCAGTCACTCAACAGGTGTGTTGATCTCTTACGAAATGCCAGGCACTTTTCTAGGCCACTGAGTGAAAAGAACAAAGCCCGTGAACTTACAATGTTCATGTACTAGTGGGGGAAGCAGACAATAAGCACAGGCACCGCTTAATGCACAGGAAGCAGGGAAAGACCTGGACACGGAGGCCTGTGTCTGTGCCTGCATGTGCATGCATGCAAGGGTCCGTGTCACTGTACTTACTACATCTGCATAAGGCAGGAAGGAAGGTTTGGATTAGTAGCATTTGAGTGAAGACCTGAAAGAAGTACACCGTGGGGCTCTTGTCTTGGGGAGGAGCGGCCTAGGCAGAGGAAACAGCAAATATAAAAGACAGAGGCAGAAGAGCGAGGGACGCTGTAACCGAAGGAGAGTGGGTGAGAGGGAAGGTGGCGGGAGAGGGCTTGGGAAGATGGGCCAGACCAGGTACGGCTGGTGGAGCTTGTAAGTATGCCCCGCCGTGGTAGGCCGCCTCCAAGATGCCCCCATGACACTTCCCTCCTGGCATCATACCCTTGCATAGTCTCCTCCCATGGAAATCAAGAGGATATTGTGGAATGACGGTGTGTGACCAATGAGGTTGGGCCATCAAAGAAACTGGCTTTTGCTTTGCTCTCTTGGACCACCCACTCTGGGGACACCAGCTGCCATGCTGTAAGGATGCTCAAGCAGACGAGTGGTAAGGTCTAGACGGGAAGGAGCTGAGGTCTCCCACCAACAGCCCAAACCGAGGTGCCTGCCATATCAGTTGTTTTAAGCATTGAGTTTTGGGGTAACACATTATGCAGTGACAGCTAACCAGTGCCCCAGGAGAGCTGTGACAGGGTCTGCCTCAGGGATCAGGCTCTCTCTGGTGCAGATGGAGGAGCAAGTGTCCACTGAGGCAGCCCTGGACTATCCAGGCAGACGATGACACTTGGATGAAAGGCAGATGGAGAGAAGGCTTGTGTGAGGGAGGATGCAGAAGGGAGTCGAGAATGAATCCTGAGTTGTTGTCTTGATCACTAGAGAAGGCCTTGCCCTTTTCTGATGAGGGTGGCTAGAGGACGGAACGTCTCAGCGGGGAAATCAAGTGCTCTGTGAAGCTGTTAGGTCTGCACCACACACTAGATATCCACGAGAAGCTGTTTAGTGGACAGTCAGTGTCTAAACTGGGATTTCTGGAAGGGTATGGGCTGGAGATATTTGGGGGTAGTCAGCTTATAATTACTACCCCAGGGTCGCTCCATAGTATAGGTTTTAATCGACTGGCAATTTCTTTATAAAAATGGCATCATGTCAAAGTTATCTGTCTTCCTAAAATGACTGGAGCAGCTTTCCCTTTTTCTCTGTGTTCTAGGACAGTTCATATATCTCAGTAATTTTTGGTTGCTTGAACAAATTAGAAAAGTTAGTTAAAAAGAATGGAAATGTGAATATTAGATATAGATGAGAAAAGTAGAAGAAGATGCTACTTAATGAATTTTGTTACCAAATTGGAAATCAACCAAAAAACTGAAAAATTCTTAGAAATATAAAATCAAGTCTCAAAAGAGAAAAAAAAGGGATATTTAAAAACTCGACAATTATTCCTCATCACAGCCAGGCCCTGAGCCTCGCACAGGTCGCCTTTATTTTCCTCAACTGTTCCTCATTCCTGTTGCACTAAGGGAGCGGTTTCCTGGGCCCTGGGCAACCCCATGAGGTCCTGTCAAGAGACGAGGGGCTCAGAGGTCAAACAACATTTTCCCAACCCCACGCTGGGGACACGGGGCTGGATAACACAAAGCCAGTCCCACAGGGGGAAGAGGGCTTCTTGGCCTGGTCCCCCTACCCATGCCTGCATCCCCGAGAGCCGCGCACTCACAGGCCAGTGAGCAGGTCCGTTTCCACTTGAGTGTCCTGGGTAGGGGCCAGGCTGCTGGTCCCTTCAGCCAGGATCTGCCGGATCAGGTCTTCATCTAGAGGGAGGAGAATGTGTCGGGGAGGGCATGGGTTCCTCCCACCCCAAACCTTGGAACTTCTTGGGGAGAACTGGTGGATACCATGCTCCCCACTCTGGCTCACCTGAAGCTGAGAAGTATTTGGTAGGGGAGGAGGGGCTGACCAGGGAGAGACCGTCTTCCTCTGGGCTCAGCGTGTGGCCCATCCGGCCCCGGGCCAGCCGCTGCAGGGTGCTGCCCATGATGGACGGGTCGCTCAGCAAGTCTGGCCAACTGAGTGTGCCTTCGCTGGACGGCCAGCACACCAGGCTGTAGGTGACGCAGGTTGGTAAGAGGAGCCAAGGAGAACACATCTGCACATCTAGTCACACACTAATATGTGAGGCTTCTGAGCAAACACACCCTAGGGCAGCATGTGAGAGCACAACAAACACTGGACGAGAACACATGACACGGCACAGGCGCTCCAAAAACCTGTAACACAGCACACACGCAGCTGACCTACAGCAAGGCTCACATCTTCACTAGGGACCCCCACCTTTTGGAATCATCCAGAAGTAAGTCGCTTTTCATTTGTCCAGCAAAGGCCTATTGAGAAGTACAGACAGAGCCTCAGACTCTGGGCTCCCCAGAGGCGGTGGGACCCACCTAGCCCAGGCAGAGCCCCTTGGGGAGCCCTCACCTCAGCACGGAGCCCAGGGAAGGCGAGGAAGGAGCTGTCCAGCACAGATGAGTCCAGGTAGCTGTCAATGTCTAGGACGTGCTGTCCCGTGGGGGTGGGGCTTGGGCCCCCAGCCACCTGCAGGGAGAGGCAGGTGGTCAGTAAGAGGCAGCTCTGGCCCCTGCTCTGGTGAGGCATGCGACCTCCTGAGCAAGCAGTCTAGACTAGTGCTGTCCTAGAGAATGTTCTAGAATGATGCACATTCTACATCTACACTGTCTTCCGTGGTAGCCACTAGCCACATACTGCTATGGAGTACCTAAAATGTGGCTGGTGCAACTAAGAAACTGAAGTGTTGATTTTATTTAATCTTAACTACTTTAAATATAAATAGCTCTTTATGGCTAACTTCGCTGTACTGGATTCCTAGGGTACATGCCTCTTGGTCACATGTACTGTCTTTTCTTATCAGTTGCTAGATTTGATGTGCTGCTGCTTTGTTAAGGATTTCTGCCTGCATATTTCTAAGGTCTGGGGTTCCCTCTTCTCGTGATGTCCTTGTCTGGCTGTGGCATCAGGGCTGTGCTGGCCTTGTGGGATGAATTAAGAAGTGCTCCTTCCTCCTGTATGTTTTTGCGTCTCGGAAGAACTGGTGTGGACTCTTCTGTAACTGCTTGGTATAATCACCAGTGAGGCTGTCCGGCTTTTCTCCATGGAAGGTTTTAAATTCCTAATTCAATCTCTTTACTTGCTACAGGTCTACTCAGATTTTCTATTTCTCCTTGAGTCAGTTTTGGTAGTTCGCCTTTCCAGGAACTTATTTCTTCTAAGTTATCTAACAGGCTGGCCTACAGTGGTTCATGGGGCTCTCTAATCAGTCCTGTTATCTTCTGTGCTATTGGTAGTGGTGTTACCTCATTCATTCACGATTTTAACGATCTGTCTTTCTCTTTTTTCCTTGTGTCAGCCTAGCTGGGAAATTTTGCTAATTTTCTCTCTTTGGCTGCCATACAGGACAGCACAGCCTTCGGCAGAAGAAATGAGGCCCATGCTCCACTCTCAGAAGCACCGTGGTCCCCAGCCCACCTTGCTCCGGGACATTCGGAAGAGGAACAGGATGACCAGGTAGATGGGATAGACAACCACGCTGGACACCAGGCCAACGGCGATCGTGTCAACACTCAGTGGGATCAGACTGGACACGGGTCCCACACTGTGTGGCAGGAGAGAAGAGATCTGGCTGGGTTAGGCTGGGAGGGGGCAGGAGGGGTTAAGGCAGAGGGAGGCCATCTGAACCCCCACAGGCACCCACCTGTAGGCAGTGTCTCCCACGACCCCATACCACATGGCATTGGAACCCAGGAAGAGGCAGAGGAGGAGGACACAGCAGGTGGCCCGCTGGACTCGAGTGAAGCGGCTTCGAGGTGGCCGGTCCCATATAGAGAGCCAGATGTGCTTGTCAAAGAAGCCACGCTGGAGCTCAGCCACCAGCAGGCGCTGGAAACGCCGAAGGGCCACGTCACCTAGGGAAAGGGCACATGAGGGCTTCAGGAGGCCAGAGGGCCTGGCATCTCCTCTAGCCTACTAGGACAGGGGGGCGGGGCCTTACTTGCTGCCAGCACCTCCTTTTCCACCAGGCCCCCATTAGCCTCAGTCTCCACTGACAGCCAGTCGTTAACCAAGAAGAAGGTGCTGCGGGTGGTCTGCAGGTCTCGGACAATGATGTGCTGCAGGAACCAGGCAGGGCTGAGCCCTGCAGAGGGGGCGAAGCTAGGTCAGGGCTACAGGGTGCCAGGCAGGCGGGAAGGAGGGGAAGCAGCAAGTGCCCACCCGGACCTTTATTGTCGTGCCACACACGGATCTTCCACACACTGCCCAGGCTGTGTGGGGTAGCGATCTGAAAGATATCCAGGCTGTTGCGGTGGAAGGCTCTGTCCCCATCCAGGTGCCGGTGGCCACTCCGGCTGTCTGCCCCATATAGCATGATGCCCACATGCGCCGTGGTACCTAGAGGATAGAAGGAAAGGTGGCAGGACTCGGGGTCTGCTGCCTACCAGACATGAACCCAGCAGGTTTTCTCCTCTGTTGACCATTCAAATACAGCCAATCCTCACTCTGCTCAGCTTACAACACGAATCTTGGTTACCAAAATTTGTAAAATAAACACGGCCCCCAACGACACGATTCAAATGTCAGTTATGATGGTATGTTAACTGTGACTAACTGCATAAAATATAAACTTGGCCGCTAGCTCTTCAGACTACTATGTAAATAAAGGATGCACATCCTGATGGGTAACCAATCACATCACTTCTGAAGCCTACTGGTGACGGGTCTCCGTGCATCTATCAGTTCCCACACAGGCCGCTAAGCGTGTAGTGGTGCTGCCTCCTTATCTCTCAGCGATAAACCTACACGGCATTTTACAAAAGAGGGGATTGGCCAGCAATGACGAAAACACAGCAAAAAAATAAAAATAAAAAATGGTACTGCTAGACATAAAATCTGAATCAAAGATAAACGGACTACTGAAGAAGCAGCCATAGGAACATTGATGCTGCCTGAGAGACTGTACAGAGGCCATCAACGATAAACTTACCAGCATAAAAAGGACAGTGGTTGTGACAAAAAGGATTCAAGATGTTAAGAGCAACTGATGCTGGCAAAAAAACTTCACATTAAAAGAACCCTCCGAGGTACTTCACAATGTGGAGAATGCAAATAAAAAATGTTGAAATATGGCAATTCGCCAAGGCATAGAAAAGATGTTCACGCCATATCATAATGGAGAAGGAAACACTGTTCAAACTATTCTTGATAAGTTTTTCACAAAGAAATAAAACACTTTAATTCCCAATATGTCTGATGTTTCAAGTTACACTGAACTAACTATACGCTTATAACCAACAGTTTCTGCCATCTTGGAAACACTTTGTTTTCTCAGTGACTTATTATCATTCAATAAGCACTTCCCCCACTGATCATGAAGCTCGCTTTTGCAGAGTGCACACACTAGTAGGTCCCACACGACTGCACAAAGTGAGACCACCCACATTGACTGCACCTACTTCTGGAAGGAACTGCTCTCATTCTCAGGAAAGATTAACGAGCTAATACTTCGCTACTACTTCGCACAGCAGTCCGTAAAAGTGAGCCCTTGTTTTATGTCATCTATTATAATGATTACCATTAGGGAAGTTGGCCAGACAGAGCAAATGAGACAGCCTGGGGGCTTGGACAAGGTGGCCCCTCCCCTTACCTGAGCCTCGGCCCCATCCGGTCTTTACCAGGATCTCATACTTGAAGCGGCCCCCCTTACCACAGAAAGGGATAACACGGACCCGGCTGATGTCCAGCTGGTCCAGCTTACGCAGGATCACAGCCATGACTGCGTAAGTCACCAGGCACACGGCACATGTCAGCAGGACGATGTAGTTCATGCTAGAGGCCGGCTCCTGGGGAGACAGAGCTGTCAGGCCCAGGAGGCACGGCCCTTACCTCGCCGGCTCAGGATAAAGCTGGGGCCTCCACACAACTCAGGAATGTGGTGCCACTCACAGGAAAGATGAAGTGGACATGGCTGGGGGGCACGAAGAGGCTGGCTCCAAAGGCAGTGAGGTGGCGGGTGAGGCAGACGGCCTGGCTGGGCGAGGTCTCCTCTAGGGGCACAAGCCCCTCCGTTCGCCACATCATGTCCTTCTCGCTGAAGTACTGGCACAGAGATGTATACAGACCCACAGACACTTCCAGCGCCGACCAGTGGAAATGGCTGGTCAGGTTCAGGTAGTAACTCCCACCCAGGTCTCTGGTCCTGGGAGAAGCAGCAGAGAGTGTCATGGCCACAGCCTGCCCAGTCCCAGGTCCCAAGTTAGGGAGGTGTTCTCAGCTACCGCCAAGCTTGCTATGCATGGCCACGCCTGACCACTCCCCAATCATCCTGCTGCCACGCCTGCTCCCATAGGGAGCCCACATGACCTTGGCACATATAGATCTGACCATGTCCAGTCTGCCTTCAGAGACCAGCCCCGCCCATGCCAATAAGTGGCTTATACAACCCAACAACCCAGTGTACAAGCCGCTTCCAGATCCTCACCCTGGAGCAATGAAGAAAGTATAGGGCCTATGGTCCTTGCCGGCCAGTGCCTCCAGGCTAATCTTCCTGCTGGCTGAGCAGTTGTGCTCGTTGGGCCATGGTGCCAAGTGCAGATAAACAGTCAGGTAGGGCTCAGGCTCCTCAGACAGGTAGTGCTCTGGGGGTGGCATGTGCAGGGTTGGACGACTACCCATCTGGGGAATACCCCTGGGATCCCTCCTGAGCCCTCCTTGCTACAAGGGCCAGAGGAAACGCCATGCTAGAAGCGGAACCTGCTCCTCCCTGGTACCCTCAGCACCCAGTACCCCACCCAAGGCACCCACCATTCAGCACTGTGTAAGTGAGCTGTAGGTGTAGTCCGGCCTCAGGGTTGCTGTGCTCGGGGGCGACCACAGCACTGACCGAGGCCCGGGGTGGGACGATGGCAGAGCTGGCAGGGATGCGGTGGCCCCATGCAGCCTGGTCAGAGCTGTTGGGCACCTTCACGGTGATGGCACGCTCTGAGGCCAACCGCCCAATGGGGATCTGGGCACCAGTCTGCGTCTGGAAGGCCATGGATGCCACCTTGGTGGAGACAGTGTAGTTGCTGATGTAGCCGAAAGGAAACGGGTTGGAGTCAACAAGAAAGATGAGCTGCACCACATCGCTGAGGTTGGACAGGGCCCCACTGAAGGCAGTGGGGATGGAGAAGTGACAGCCAGGGACCGAGGCATTGCCCTGGCACAGCAGGCTCAGCGGGTCTGAGCGCTTGCCCTGTGCCACGATCTCCTCACCCGCCAGGGTCAGGGGCTCCTCATTGAGCACTCGGGAACGCATAAGGATGCACATGAGGGCTGATGACAGGTGGTAGGCCCTGGATGCCACCATCAGTGAGGGTGGCTCAGCCCCTATCTCTGAGGGCTGCGAGTCCTGCACATCAGAGCTGGCCAGGTGGATGAGGTCACCTACAGATGCGGGGAGACACAGGGAGAAAGGCTGGGAGAAGAGGCAGAGGGAGGGGTTGGGAGAACAGTTGGTAGGGGAGATATTGGGGAAGAAAGGGGAGGTTAGGGGAGAAACGGGGGAGAGAAATGGAGAAGAGATTGTGGGGGAAGAGGTCTGAGGGAAAGATGGAAGGTCCGGGGAGCACCGTGTACCCTCCAGCCCCTGCCCAAACCTGTGATGTTGAGGATGCTGTCGGCAATGGCAGTGGGCGTCCCGGTGCCTGCAGCGGTTTCGGCCTGCAGGACACGCATCATGGCCTCCAGCTTGTGCAGTGTCTTCTTTAGGCACGAGTGGCACACGGGCTCCTTGCTGGACACCTGTGGGGAACCCGGGCACTGTGTCCAGCCTCACTCCAGCCTGCTTGCTCCCTCTTCCACCACTTGGCCTACCTCTACTGTCACACTTGCTATAATAGGGTGGCCTCCCCACCTGTCAGATTTCTCTAAACCACCTTTTGTGGTGCAGCTGGGGAAAACTCCCCAAACACTGCTCCCCTCACATGCCTCCCTGCTGAGAGCCTTTTGGGGGCTCCTCCCTATGCACAAGCCCTGCTGCCACCCCTAGCCATGGAAGCCACACAGTCATGAAAGCCATGTAGCAGACAGGGTGACCCCTGCCTAGAAGACTCTTCACTCCCTTCTCTTCTGCTGAGGCCTCTGCAGCAACCCACCGCCACCCTGGGCACAGTGCTCTCCACATCAAGACTGTGTCCAGCTCAGTTCCTGGGTGAGAGTGGTGGGCAACTTTTCAGGGCCAGAAAGCCAGATTAGTTGTGATGACAGGCTCGGGAAGAAGGCACAAAATGACCTCATCATGTCAGCCTTTCCCTGTACCTGGGCTGCTCCTTAGGCCCTAGGCCATCCTGCAGGGTTGTCCTGGGGGCATCTGTGGCTCACACTGGGCTCACCCAGGAAAGGCACATGGCCAGCCACTCTTGGGGTAGGGAGGCCCAGGGCTGCTGAAGGGTCTGAGTCCTGCCCTACCATGCATTGGGCCAGCACTGCTGATATCTGCTGGATGTCGTCCACGGTGTTGACCCTCAGGGAGACCAGGGTCTCTGTGATGTTCTTGCGTATCTGGGCTCGTAGCTGCCACCTAGAATCTGGCTCTGCTGCCACAGCCAGGTCCTGCTCATACTGTGAATGGTGGGCACAAGGTAGCCGTCAGTGGGTGACAGAAGTACCCCCGCCAGCAGCGCTGCATAATGTGGGCAGTGACTCGAACTGTTTCTTTAAGGACAAAGGGGGTCTTCCCCAGACTCCCTTCAGGGGCTGGGATACAGGAAGAGATGGGGGGTGGGGAGGAAAGCCTGGTGCTGGGGAGAGCCCACAGAGGGGTCTGCTGAGAACGGGAGTCATTTCAAGGAAGTTAGAGATTTTGTCTGTTGGGAGCCAAAGGACAAACCCTTTGTAAGGATGCAAGGATGCAGTCGGGAGTAGTGCTCTGGGCAGACCCCCTGCACTGACCTCATTGAGCACGGTGATGAGGGCCAGTGAGTACTCAATGACGTGCTGGGGGTCAGCCTGTCTTAGTAGCCTGGGCAGTAAGCTCTCCGTGAGGCTGTGCAGCCAGGGGGTGAGGTCCAGGGGGCTGCCCAGGGAGTCTCCTGGGGGCTCTGGCAGGGTGATGGCCAGAGACCTGTGCACAGAGACCACAGGTGAATAGGCAGCAGCCCCTGCTCCCACCCTCCAGGCCCTGCTCTCGGGGGCCTGCTCACCTGTTGAGGGCGACCACAGAAGCACCCAGCTGGTCCTGCACCACCACAGCCAGGTCCACCTCAAAGTGGGGCGCAAAGCCAGGGGGCAGCACAGTCCCATACGTGGAGAGACTGCCCTTGTAGACACAGAACTCCTCGCAGTGGCCCTGGCGGCAGCGCCGCAGCAGCAGGGCATACACCAATGGGGCGCCTGCATCCTCTGCGTCCTGCCAGCCTGTGGGCCCCAACAGTGTCACCGAGGCCTCTCCATGGGGGCCCCTCCCTGGGCATCTCTGTTTCCTCCTGCCTCCCTAACCCCGCACTTACCTGTGCACTCGAAGTGCACCTTGGTGGTGAGGGCACGCACAGCATCCACTGGGAAGAGGTGGCAGGAACCCCCCAGTGGAGGGCGGTTGGGGGAGAGGCGGATGGAGGCGCAGCCCTCCTCCTCCCCGGAGAGACCCAGCACAGTGAGCGTGAACGTATAGCCCTCGCCGTCCCGCAGCACACCGCGCCGTACCACCAGCCGCATGCCTGAGCTGCCTGTGGACGTGGTTGTCTCGTCCAGCACCAGTGTCTTGTTGCTGAAGGTGCTCACAGCCCAGCGCTGAGGACGCAGATAGGCGCTCAGGGGCAGGATTGGCACTGCTGCCACCTCCAGGGCTCAGACATGCCCCACCCGAGCCCTCTCGTCCCTACACCCAGCCCTGCCCCCAACCGACCCGCCCAGCTCACCCCTCGTTTGGAGCCCCCACTGCAGTTGTCACAGCGGCCCTCCAGGTATACATAGGAGCTGCGGCTCACTGCATACACTGCCTGTGCCTTGCAGGACACGCACTCCAAGGACACTATGGGCACCTGACCGCTCCGGATCAGCACCTGGGGATGGGGTGGAATTACAGGAAGGCCACGTCCTGAGATAGGGAGGGCCTCTGCTTCTGAGGCTCAGACCCAGAGTCCGTCCAAGGTAGTGGGATGGTCACGGGCCAGACAAGGGCCTCTCCCTCTGGACATGTTGCCCCAGCTGGGAACACTCCCTTCGAGGCCCTACCAATTCCTGCTCAGCCCAAAGTCCACGTTCCTAAGGGTCGGTGAGCTCAGCCCTCACCCAGTGTATTCATCTGAGTGTCTCCCAATCTGGGGGTGAGGGGTGTCACCTATAGCAGCAGAAACCACATTGGGCTTATTTTCTGTAGTATCCCTCCCAGTCCCAGTTTGGGTCTGGCATACAGGAGACACTTGATATATACTTATATGTCAGTGCACCCACGGGGTGAGAGCTGTGCTCTACATAGCCCCTTTGAGGTTCCTGCTGTCCTAGGGGGTTGGGCCACAACAGAGCTCCCACTATCCCAGATATTCTCTCTAGGCAGGCCTCCCCTTCCCCAGGCAAGAGCTCCCACTATCCCAGATATTCTCTCTAGGCAGGAGATATTCTCTCCCCTTCCCCAGGCAGGCCATCCGGGAGAGGCCTGGCATTGGGGAAATACCCCCGCATCTTGGGCATCGGCAAAGCCTGGCACACCTGTTCCCACCAACAGGCCCCACCCAGCGGCAGCTGGAGTGGTTGCCATAGGGTCCTGACCTGTCTGGCTGGTCCGGGGAGGGGAGCAGAGCGCATGCCAACAGAGAGAGGAGAACAGGCCCTCGCAGGTCAGAAACGGGGACAGCCACTCTCAGGGAGCAGACATGTTTCCTCACTGTCAGCCTGTGTGCTATTGGGGCAGTTCATTTCTCATAAATCATGAGAGCTGCACAGCTCCTCTAAGGTTTGGAGCACAGCCCTAGCCCATCTGGAAGGAAGCCATCCTGAAGTCGGATGACTTGTTAAACAAAATTTGTACTAGAAATAGTAATTTTGAAGTAAACTGATAGCCTCTAAAAGCACTAAAACAAAGAAAACCTTAAAAAAGGGTACTTGACACGATCTGTAAGAGGCGGTCCTGTGCCCTCAGCCCTTCCTAGCAGTACCCTGCCCACCTTGGGCCTTTGGCTCCACCTGGCTTGGGCACGACCAAGGCCAGGTGGCACCCACCGTCTGGTTGGTGGCCTCCTCCTTCCGGCCAGCCTTCCACACGGTCAGGTTGAAGGTGTACTCCACACCGGCTTGCAGGCGCTCCCGAGGGATGGTGACCACACTGCTGCCACGAGGCCCGAAGTTCAGCGCACATCCACCAGTCCCACTCTGTGGCCCATGACAGGGGGCAGTGAGACCCTGGACCTGCCTCAAAGCAGAGCCCGGCCCAGGGACAGCTGGGGATACTCTTCCCTCTGCTGGACTCAAGCCTACCAGGACTCGGTCAGCAAGCACACCCACCCCCCTCTCCCCATGCTGGGCTCATTAGTGCAAACAACATGAGAGGGGCTGAGAGGACGCACCCTTCCCCTGGCCCCCACCCCACTGTGGGGCTGACCTGCGTTGAGGCCACGCAGGCCCAGTGGAAGCTGAGTGGCGTTTGGTCCCCATCCTCCAAGTTGGGGTCGTAGGACTTGCTCCCGTCCAGCACCAAGTCCTGTGTGTTTGACCACACTCGGTACGAGCCACCCTCGACAATGGGCACTAGGCGCTCGGGGGCCACTGTCACATTGGCTTGGATGCTCTGCGCCAGCGGTGTGTCCCCAAATGACACCACGAACACAAAGCAGTAGTGGCCCACAGGCAGCACCAGGCGAGGCACGACCAGCTGGGGCCGGCTCATATCCACGCCAGGCAGGGCCACACGGGTCATGCGTCCAGGCCGCTGGCAGCTGGTGGCGCGGTACACCTCCCAGCGGTACTCAGTCTGGTAGGTGACACAACCACGCAGATCGACGTGGGCCTCAAGGTAGTTGCGCTGGGAGCGCCGCATCAGCACTTGCGGGGGCAGGGCTACATCCACCTTGGGCTCCCGGCACGCCAGTATGTGGACAGTGACCGTGGCCTGTGCCACAAAGAAGCTCACCAGGTTGGAGGCATTCACCTCCACACGATAGTCCCCGGGGTGTAGGTAGGAATGGTTGGCCCATGGATCCTCTGTATCCTCTGCCAGGGCTCCGTCCCCAAAATCCCAGTGGTAGGCCACATGCCGAGCACTGGGGCTCGTGACGGCTTCAAACCGGGCTGAGCGATTGGTGAAGCAGCGGCCGCTGCGCAGTGCCACGTGCTGGATGATGTCCTGGACCTCGACCACGAGCGTATGGTTCACACCGCCTAGCTCATTAAAGGCACGCACGTGGATCTCTAATAGCCCTGCAGCCACTGGCGTATAGGTGACGTCACGGCCTGACAGGATGACCAGTGAGTCTCCCTGAACTTTCTGTAAGGAGAAGTACCATGCATAGGCAACGCGGGTCCCCCGCTGTACCCGGGCCGTGAAATTCTTTTCAGTGCCTGTAGCGATGCCTGGCTCGCAGCAGTTGGGCACCTGGAGCCCACCCACGGCCTCCAGTACCAGTATGTGCACCTGTGCCTGCGCTCGGCTCACATGGTTCTCAGCCTGGACGCTCACCGTATAGTCCCCAACCCGGGGAAAGCTGCGGGAAAAGTGGGGCCCTGGGAGTGCCTCGAGGCTGGCCCCGCCAATCTGCAGGCGGAAGCTGACGGCTGAGCCAGTGGCTAGCAGGATCTGAAAGTGGACCAGCTGTCCAGGCTCTGCCACTTTGTTGCTGGCCCACAGCACCAGGCCCACGATAGGCTCCTCCACCGTGAGGTTATGCGTGGCTACGACCCAGCTGACTGCATTGGAGGCGTTGAGCTGAACAGAGAAGGTACCAGCACCAGGGAAGACCACAGCAACATGCTGGCCGTGCCTGCTGCCACCTGGAACAGCCCAGCACCAGCTCACGTTGGTGCCCGAGGCCAAATGCCCCCAGAAAGGCACAGTGGAGCCGGCTACCACAAAGCTGCCATCTAGCTCGCCAGCCCTGATGCTGAGGCCACTCACAGGCACCTGCACAGCTATCTCGATGGTGGTGTTGATCAAGCCCAGCTGATTCTTGGCTGTAACCGTGACCAGGTACAGGCCAGGAGTGGGAAAGGCGTGGGTGGTGGATGGCTCTCGGGTCTCCCAGCTTAGCCCTTCCTCCAGGGACCAGGTGTAAACAACACCGCTACCGCCAGCCAGCTCGGCGTTAAGGGTGACACTTGCATTGACAGTGGCCGGGTTTGGGGAGGCAGCCGCGGCCAGCCACCCCACAGGCTCCACAAAGTACACAGTGCGGTTGGCCAAGGCACTGCCCAGCATGTTGGTGGCCCGCAGCTGGACAACATAAGTGCCCGCCTCAAGTACAGTAAGTGAAAAGGTTTTACCACTGCCAGCCAGGGTTGGGCCACTGTCCCGCTGGGCAATCCAGCTATAGGAGATGTTGGTGCCATCCCTGACCACAGCCTGTAGTTGAAGCGTGCGGTTGGTGGGGAAGCAGCAGCCACCACCGCCACCAGTCACCTGTAGCCCCTCAATGCGCTGCAGGACGTAGATGAAGATGCTATCCTGGGCGGCACCCACCTCGTTCTCAGCCGTGACAATGATGTTGAAGGTGCCCACGGAGCGGAAGGTGTAAGAGATAGTGGGGCCCCCAGGGATAGGTGTGCAGCGGTCGCACAGCACCCAGGAGTAGTGCATGTCGCTGCCCGCCTCCAGTGAAGTGCTGAAGCTCACACTGCCATTCAGGGGCACCACCGTGCGGCTGGCATTGACGCTAAGCCCCCGCACACGCTGCTGTACTGAGACGTTCAGCCAGGCCTCACCACGACTCACTTGGTTCCAGCCGGCCACTCTGAGAGTGAAGTGGCCTATACTGGTGTAGGTGTGTGTGACCGCAGGGCCTTCGAGTCGCCCGCCATCCCCCAGCTCCCACAGGTAGGTGGCGGGACGCCCACGGCCCACAGTGGAGAATAGGTAGGGCTGCTGCAGCTCCAGCGCACGAGAGGCGTTGACCCTGATGCTCACGAGCTCCACAGGCTCCTGCACCTCCACAAGTGCTGAGTCGTTGGCAGCCGAGATGTTGTTGGACACGGTCACTGTCACCAGGTAGGAGCCCACATCCCAGTAGGTGAATGTGGCCTCAGGGCCCCCAACACAGGGCGTGTCCTCAGTGCCAAAGTCCCAGATGTAGCGGTAGGTGAATGAGGGCCAGGTGAGGGCTACCAGCCGGGCCTCATCTCCAAGCCGCACAAATTGCCTCTCAGGCAGCAGAGTGACATTGCCCACCTCGGGCTCCACGCACACACTGGTGAAGTAATGTGCCTTGTTCACACGGCTTGACAGGATGAGCACCAGCGGGAACGTGCCACTCCGTGTGAAATTATGCATCACTGTCGGATCCCCCCAGATGGTCGTGTTGGATGAGCCGTCCCCGAAGGTCCAATCGAAGACATAGTTCGCAGGGTCCCCAGTGACGTGGGCCATAAGCTGGGCCTGGGGTTGCACAGGTATGCAGGCCGCAGGGTCAATCCAGAGCACCTCCAGGACGAAGACTTGCACAGGCAGGCTCTGGGCCAGGTGGCCAGCAGGGCTAGATGCACCCACAGTCACTGTGCAGTTTTGTGCCCGCAGGTACACGTGCTCTACCATGGCCTCAGGACCCATGAGCACTGTGCCATCTCCCATGTCAAAAGTCCATGTGACATTGTCGCCTGACTCTAGGGTGGCACTGACCACCACAGGCATGCCCTGCTCCACAGCCGGGCTCAGGCTCACGGTCAAGCCTCGGAGCTCCTCGAAGATGCGGACACCGGCGCACGCCGCCACGCTGCTTACTGTGTTGTTGACCTCCAGGCGGATGTGGTATGTGCCCCTCGAGGTGTATGTGTGGTTGATCACTGGCTGGTGCTGTGTCACGGCTGGGGAACCATCCCCGAAGTCCCACGTGTACAGGACACCCCCAGGTGAGGGCAGTGGGTGTGGGGAGAAGGTGATGGGCCGGCCGGCCACCAGGACAGCACTGCCCACAGCCACGGCCATGGCTGGCAGAGTGGGGCGCACACTCACAGGCACCAGCTGCGTCAAGTTCTCGAACGTGTTGGACACAAGCAGGGTCAGGTTGTACTCACCTGAGGGACAGGCCCGGAGAGGGAATGGCACTGGGGCCACTGTGCCACCTGCTTAGCACAACCCCTCCCGCACCCCATGAGGGCTGCTGTACACAGCAGCCTCTTAGGGGAGCAGAGCAGCGCCCCAGTCAAAACGTGAATGGAGAACATCCTTGGGTCCCGCCCCAGGGGTCCTCATAGTGAGGCATGTGTGGGGCACCAACAGCACAGAGCAAGATATGGCTACAGCAGAAATGGGACAGAGTGGACCATCTCCAAGTATGACTGCACTCAGGTTAACAGAATGAGTGCCAGTGTAGGGCAAGGATTGTGGGGGCCCTGTTGTTTACTTTGCATTCTGTGCATGAAGCTTCTGGAATTTTAAAAGTAACTAAAAGGCGATTTTCCTTCTCCCCAAAAAAAGGCTCAGAAGAGGGAACAGGAAGGGACAGAGGATCCAGTTTCTGACAAGAGACTCAAATCATAAGATTCAGCAGCCTAGTCCACCCTTCACCCCTGGACACCCCTCCTTCACTCTAGTAAGGCCCCAAGGGGGGCTGCCCCCAGGGCAGCGGCCCATCCTCACCTGGGACAGTATAGGTGTGTGTGGTGTTGTGCTCCACTAGCACCTGGGCCACCATAGGGTCTGGGACCTGGAAGGACTCATCGTATGGAGGCTTGAACTGGCCAATCACCTGCTCCCCATCCCCGAAGGTCCACCTGCCAGAGAACGAGGCAGGCAGTGAGTGGCTGGGGGATATGGGTGGGAGAGGCTGGCCACTCTCATGGGAGCATGCCCTGGCCTGGCTGCAGTCACTCTCTCCTTGTACCTCCACTCGGGGTACCACACAGCCCTGCGGCAGGCCCCACCCCCTCCCAGATCCCACATACCCAGCACCTCCTGACAAATGAAGTGGGGGCTGCAGGGTCTAGGCCTGGTACACTCACAGAAAGGCCACCTCCACAGCCGAGTCTACCAGCACAGCGGCCGCGACCGCCAGCGTGGCATTGGGAGGCAGCACGGCTGGCACTGCAGACACTTGCAGGCCCCGCATCCTGTGCATCCGCTCCACAGTGACGTTGTAGTTCACAGTGACATTGCTGACGTGGTTGGTGGCCGTCAGCTGTGGAGAGAGGTGGCAGTGAATAGGCTGTCAACTAGCTGGGTAGCAAGGCAGTGTGGGCAGAGCCCCACCCTGCACTCACCCACAGCTGCTGCAGGGTCCTCGGGAGCAAAGGAGAACAGAGGGCAGAGGTGAACACCAGAAGTCTGCCCCACCCCCACCCTGCCCTCGTCATTCCCTCAGCCCCCCACCCACCGAAAGCTTGAAGATAGCAGCACTCTGGTAGATGACATTGAAGACCACATTATGGAAGGTCAAAGACTGCTTGTCATCGATGGTCCAGCGGAAGACCACATCTGAGCCGGCCTCCACCATGGGGCTGTACCTCTGCGAGAAGGGAAGAGCATCAGCCAACCGTGACCCTGCCTCAGCCCAGGGTCTTTGGAGGACCAACTCTACCCTGAGCCCACCTCTACCTGCTCGGACATGCCCCCCTATGGGCTTCCGGGAAGAGAATTTGAAGACTCTGTGAAGGGGGTAAAGGAGGGCCTCAGGGCTCACTCTTGACTAGAGAACCACGTGGTACAAGGCTGAGCTCGGGCTTAGTCACACCTTGACTTCTCTATACCTGTTTCCTCACCTGTCATCTCTGAGTCTGGACACCCCTTCCAGGGCTCCTGCTCAGACTCCTCAGTTAGACTATACAGTCCCACTTGGCAAAGCACTTAAGTCTCACAAAGACTCATGGCTGGATGTTTACCCGCATCACCTAATAGGTATGAACAGGTGACTAGGGGAAGCTAGGGGACAAAACTGTACAGTGGCAGGACTGTCAGAAACAGCCCTTCCAAAGGCCCCTGTGCAAAGGTGCAGAGCTGGCGGCTGTCTTGTGCAGGGTGGGCACCCCAGGCCAGAGACAGCTCCTTCTCAGAAAGGCATGGACAGTGGCCCAGGTGGCATGAGACCCCCACCTCAAAAAGTGCTTACTTTAGCCAGGTAGGAACACAACAGGAACTCAGAAAACACACCCAGGCTTGATGAGGTCAGATGTGGGTGAAGAGTTTGACAATTTCATGAAATGTAAGAGTGGAAAGAAATGTTCTAGTGATGACTTTTCAGTAATTTAGAAATGAATGATCAGTCTAAGGAGCCTACTAACAGGATCTGATCAGTAACTGAGACCCTTGGCCTAGCAGCCAAGCTACTTCCTCACTGGGGAGGGGCCACTCTCTGCACAGGCATCTTGTCTCAGGAGGGGTTAGATGGACCTGCGGGCCACACTCACCACCAGGACACCCTGCAGCACACGGGCCTCGGGACTGGGTGTGGCTCGGAGGCCACAGATGGGCTCCTCCGCCTTCACCCACAGGCTGAGGTTGGCCTGGCCGGCACTGTTCTCCACCACCACCTCCACTGAATGCTTGCCCTCACTGAGCCTGGGCAGCGCCAGCACAGAGAACAGGGTGTCGTTGGCCTCACTGGCACAGCTGGGCACCAGAGCAACCACTGAATCAGGGCAGGTGGCCTCGAAAGGCGCACTGATGTTGTCCCCAGGCCAGCGCACCGTGGCTGTGGCATTGGAACCGGAGTCCACCTGGAGCACCAAGGTTGAGCCGTTGGTGGACATGTAGAAGAGGCCATCATGGGGGATGGGATAGATGACCCGCAGCCCGGCCACCGGGGAAAGCACGTCAAAGCTGCAGGACAAGTTGCGCCTGGACACACTATTGCCCACCGAGGCCCGGACCTCATAGTGTCCTGGCCGCTGAAGCCCTGGGTTGGGCCTCAGGCCCAGCAAAGGAGTGAGCCTCTCTGTGGCAGTAAGCAGCCGCAGGGCACAGGCCTGGCCAGCCCAGCCAGCCTCCAGTTGGGTGGGCAGGCAGGCCAGCCAGGCCGAGGCATTGGTAGAGAGGTATGAGGCCTTGGGGCCTGGGCGGCCGAATGCTGGTGTGCAGCGCAGGAAGGCGCCCGGGCCGGCATCATGCTGCAAGCCTATGAGGTCACCAGGGAGGAGGGGGCCATCCTGGCCACGGAAGGCAACCTACAGGAGAGGGAGGTGGGGCTGTGTCAGGTCCTCACAGTGGACCACCACTCGTCAGGGTCCTGTAGGGGAGCAATGAGCCAGGGGCTCCAATGGGTGGGCAGGATTCTCCAGGGGTAACCCAGAGTTGCTCCCCAACATGAGTCTCAACACTCATCTATCATACTCCGCCAGGCTTCACGGGGCTCCACCCAGGCACTCATGCTAGGGACAGATGGGACAGCCTCAAATAGAATACACACAGGGGAGAGAGAGAAGATGCAGGCAGGGGTGGGGGTTCCCCAAACAGGGAGGGACTTCTGAGGGACACTATAGCCAAGACTTGAAGGACAGGAAGGAACCACCCATGCCGAGTGAGGTAAACAGAATCCTCAGAAAGCACACTAAGTACACAGGCCCTGGGGCAGGAGCTTCTCATGCTAGGAGATGAGCGAAGGCTCTGACAAGGCCACAGGTGGGCAATGGACTGGGCAGGAGGCCTGGTGGGCTGTGCATAAGAATCTGTATTTTGTCTGTTTTATGGGGAGACCCAGATCTCGGGCAGCTGAGGGGAAGGAACACGGCACCCAGGCCAGTGATACACACCGAGTACTGGGCAGGGGGACCCGCAGGCACAGAGAAGAGAAACTCCCTCCACAGTACATAGGAAGCCCATGGCCCTGACGTGGACCCATTGGCACAGGTCTGAAGGTGGCAAGGGCTGTCCAGTGGCAGGCAGATGTTGGATTTGGGGCACCGGAGACCCTCTGGCATGCACGCAGGCGCCGGCTCAGTCCTGTTGTTTAGGAACCTACTCTCGGGCTTGCTGCTGTTTTCTGAGGCTCCTGCGAGGAAAGAAAGGGTGTCAGGGACCTTGATTTGCTAACAGATGACAGTCAGGGATACCCACTACTACACGAGGGCCTGCCAGGCAGTGTCCCCGGCCCCCATCACTTTCCTATCCCCCTCGACACTAGGCCCCCCCACACCCAGGTAGGCCCCATCTAATTTGTCTTTGGGATCCCAAGCATAAGTCTGTGTCTTTGTAGATCTCACCCTGTCCACCCTAAGGCTAGAGACCAGTCTAGTGGCCAAGAGACCAGCAGACATGATAGCACGGAGAGGACACCCAAGTCCCCCAACTCCCACCACCGGGATGGGGTCCTACCTGCTTCTCCCATAGGTCGGTACACCTGCAGACGCATCTGGGCAGGCCGGCCAAGTTCCTGAGTCCCAAACTCCGCAGTAATGAGGAAGGCTTCGTGGTTCAGGCCTAGGCCAGGGAACACCATCACCTGGTGAAGTGGGGGTGGGGCAAGGGGTGGTACTCAGCTCCACAGACCTTGGGCCCAGCCCCAGTCAGCCAAGAGCGGAAGGAGCCACCAGATAGGGCTTCACGAGGCCCCCATGAGTTTCACTCAGGAAGAAAAGTCAGGTCAAAACCATCTATGTGCAGCAAGACCACCAGCATGGTTTTTTAAAAAAATTCAGACATGGAGAGAAAAGGCTTAGGATACTGGGTATCCTCTCCTGGATACTGGGATGGGGGCTTCCCCCCCCCCCCCGCCCCCCCGCATGACAGCATATTTTCTAATCCATCTCTACTGGACACAAAGGATGTTAAAGAGACTCAGGAAAAAAAGCAGCTTGTTTTTAAAAGAAACACACAGCAGCCAAGGTAAGCATGATCTCCAGGCTGTGTCCTGAAGTAGGGTCATGGTCGGCCTACCTCGACGAGCTCCTGGGGCGCTGAGAGCGCCTCCTGCTGAGCCAGGGGGCTCAGGGGTTCCTGCAGGTCTCCGCTTGGCGCCCCCACGAGGAAGTTCTCCGAGTCCCACACAGGGCCTGGGGTGGCAAGTGTGCAGTGAGGTACTGGTCCCAGGCCGAAGAGGAGAGTGTCCTGGCAAGGGTGGGATTGTGACACCTGGCGGTAGCCCCTCAACTCCTTCCACCTTTGCCTGTTTCTTACAGCGCAGGCCCAGCTCAGGAAGACAGTAGGTGCTCAGTAAACACCTAATGAACACTGACTAGCTAAGGAGCCTTGTGGGGAGGTAAAGGAAGCACTGTCCTAGCCAAGGGTAGGAGAAGCTCCAGGGCAGCCAGGAGACTGTGGTTTTTGAGGGGGCAGTTGTCCTGATCCAGGGCAGAAGGCACTCCCCGGCCCCCCAGTAGCCCCAGCGCACCTCCAGGCCGCAGCTCACAGACATAGCTATGTGACGCCGAGCACAGGTCCGTGTTGCACTGCCCGGCAGGTCCAAGCCTCACACAGCGCTCTGCTGTGGCGGGGTGTGGCTCCCCGGGCAGCCAGTTCTGGCAGCTCTCCAGGCTGAAGGCCTCACCCTGCGACAATGTGCCTGCCTCAGTGCCTTCCACAGCCGAGAAGCCAATCCACACGTCTAGGCTCCTGCAGATGGTGGGGAGGGTAGAAACTCAGGGGCTCCCTAAAGATGGGTGCCCCTCTACCCACCCTCTCTCTGGGGGCAGGCTCCTCACAGCAGCCCCTCGAGTGGGCTCTGTCCCTGTTTCTGCTTTTCAGATGGGCAAACCAAGGCTCAGAGACAAGACCTGGCAAGGCCTAGTGCCCATACAGATGCCCACAGCATACAACTAGGGGCCTAGCCAAGGAAGCTCCGCCTCGATCAGACCCACAATTGTGCCCTGTGGGGAGGCCCTGGGTGTAGCATTTGGGAACCAAGATACCTACACATCAGCCCCCAAACGGGCTACTCCCCACACCTCTGCCAAGGTAGAAAGACCTTCCTAGAAACAGGGCTTGTAGACACATGGGTAGGGATGGATTCAAGGATAGACAGAACGACAGAGGGACAGGCAAGAGGACAGGGATGGATAGGAACAGACATAGAGACATGCAGAAAGACAGAAAGAGGGACAGGCAGAGCAACAGGGATAGGCAGAAAGAAAGGGATGGACAGGGACAGGCAGAAGGAGAGGGACAGGGACAGATATAGGCACACGGAGAAAAAAATGAGGTGCTAAGAGCCAGGTGATGGGACCGAGCTACTGCCCATTAACCGGTGACCCTGGGCAATGGCCTTGACCACTCCAGGCCTCAATTTCCCCTTGTTGACACTGAGTATGTACAGGGTATACTTTCACAGTCTGACTGGCCCCTTCCCACACAGGGATGAGGATCTGGCCTTCACCACACCCCCAAAAGCCATGGCAGGTACTGAGGCCTCTCCAGCCACTCCCTTCTCTCCTCATGACAGGGTTCTGGGGATCCCTCCAAACCTCTCAGCCTATTGGCGGTGGGGGCAGGCACCTGGTGACCCGGGAGACCAGGAAGTGCTGGATGGCAGGACTGTCCACCATGGCGAGGGCGGCCCCGGCCCAGGCCCGGCACTGCTCCTGCGCCTGCAGCCAGGCCGCCTTCTCCGCCACCAGGCGGTAACAGTGCCCATTTCCAGGGAAGACCTCGGTGTCGGAGGGGCACAGCGGGTGCACCACTGGGAGCCGGCGGGCAGAGAGATGGGGCATCAATGTGTGTCCACTTGGGACTCTGCCCCACCTGCCCCCGACCCCAGGGTGATGAATAAAAAGGGTGGCTCAGGCCCAGTGGCAGGGAGGCACCCACCTTGGGCCGGCTCCTCGTTCAGGGCCACAATGCTGTAGGTGGCCTCAAGGCCTGAGCCACCACGATTTCGGATACCAAGCTCAAGGGTCTCATCGCTGTGCACTGAGGCTGGACATATGAGCTCCAGGGTAGCAGGAGCTGCCTCCACTTGCACTTCTGTCCCTAGCCTAGCTGAGCCAGCCCCCAGGGTCAGCACAGCTGTCACTTGATAGTGCCCGGGCAGTACATAGCGGTGAGTGGCAGTCGGACCAGTGATGTCCACTTCAGGGGAGCCATCGCCGAAGTCCCAGTGTGTGGAGCTGATGGGCAGTGAGGCAGTGATACGGAAGGCTGCTAGCTGGCCAGAGGCCAGGGGTCCTTGGGGCCCCACCAGGGCGGTCCCTGGGGAGGCAGGGAAGACATTCTGGAGGAGGGTGGGGCCCCTGCAGGCAGGGGTATGGGGCAGTGGGGAGCCAGAGCAGAAGGGCAGGCAGGCGGAGGAGGTGTTGGGGGGTTGGGCCACCCCGCACAGGCAGTGGCCCTGCTCTGAGAGGGCTGCAAGGTCCTGGCCAGCGGAAAAGCAGAAGGCACTGCAGGCCTCGGGCAACAGCGGGCCCTCATGGGCAGCTGAGAAGGTCACCAGCGCCACAGCGCCCAAGCTGTTGTTGGGGAGGCAGGCGACATAGTCCTCACCTAGAAGAGACAGATGGCTGCCTCTCATCTCCCATTCTAGATCCCAAATCACCTCCCACAATGTCCCTCGGGTCCAGAGGGCCTTCCTGACCCCTACCCAATCAGTCTGTCTCCATCCTGTAATTATTTGCCAGTGCATCTGTTCCCCAAGTTCCCATCGACTACCCTCCACCCCAGGTTGGCAATTTCTGAGTGCCTGTGGGGTCCCTCCTTGGCTGAACTGCCTGCAGGGAAGGACCAAGCTGGCTCTGCCACACCCATACTCACCACAGCCACTACCAGACAAGGGGACTTGGAGAAGGGGCCGGCCAGCCAGGGGGCCAGGCCCCGCGCATGTGGCCGCCTCAGGCTGCACTACATGGACCTGCTGCTCCTCTGCCCAGCGCGGCAGCCACGCCAGTCCACAATCACACTCCAACGGGTTCCCGCTCAGGTTTCTGTGGGAGAGGCAGGGCCGGGAGCTCAGTGGACAGTGGGGTAGGTGTGCAGGACCAGGCCTGAACCCCCTGACAGGTACAGCCTCCTACCACCCCTGTGGCCGCCTGCCAGGCCCTGCTCCAGCAGGCAAGCAAATGACCCAGGATCTGGTCTCAAACTAGGAAACAGGTATGAAGGCTAGGATAGGAAGGCAGGGGATTGTTGGGAGGGCCACGGGCCCAGCCGCTTATACCCACCAAAAACAATGCAACTTACATTTCACTTAAATTAAATAAATTAGCAAATGTTCCTTCTTCTAACGTAGAAATCCTGTTGTTGCTTATGTCCCTGGAAGAAAGGGGATTTGCCAGGATCTGAGGGATGCCCCGATAACCGCAATGGTGACAAGTAGCTGCCACGTGCCCATCCTTCGGAATCCCACAGCTGTGCTGAAGAGTACACTCACAGCTCTGTCAGTGCCGAGAGGTTCGCCAGGAGCCCAACATCTAGTGCCCGAAGCAGGTTGTGGGAAACATCCCTGAGGAGCAAAGCAGTCACAGGTCGGTACTAGAGCTCTAGGCAGGGCACAAAGCCGACTACAGGCTCATCTCAGATGCTTCCCAGCACCCCCAAGCTATGGCCTCCCATCCTTGGAGGTCCCTATTCCTAGGGCCAGAGTGGAGAATCGGAATGACCTCTGTGTACCCTGCCACAACGGTCTCCAAATAGATGAGGCCTGGGCCTCCCATCCACAAAGGGCAGACTTCACCCACCTCCACACACGGTTTGGAACACACTAGGATAGCCCAGGGGGTCTCCTGGGACAGAGGCCCAGCTGCTGCCAGCTGGGGGCCAGGGAGCTCTGAATGTCCCTGAATAACAGGGAGGAACTCTGTATCACAGTGACGATGACTCACCACAGCCACAGACGATGACTCCCACCCCAGCCCCTGACCACTGCTCCTCCTTGGAGAATCCTGTGGAACCCCGTATCATAGTGATGATGACATATTAAACCTCAAGATTAACACACAAAAAAAACCCATATGGCCAACAAGATAACATACGGGTGCCATGGGAAGTGTAACTGGGCAAGAACCTCAGAGAAAGGTTGAAACATGGACTGACACTGAAATTGTGCTGCATGTGTTAGAGTGGATGGACTAGCCGATGAAAGCAAGGGAACCTAGTGAAACAGTCACCCTGCAAGAATCTGGAGAGAGAGAGAGACAGGACTGACACGTCAAGGACACGTTCTTTAGCCAACAAACCTACTTTCCCTCCTGGCCCAGAAGGGGAAGTCACAGTCGCCCCTGCCCATCCACCCTGATTTTTAGACCACTCTGACTTGGTAAACACCTCCAGTCACCTGACCCACCCCACCCTCCTTGTCCACTCCTCAGGCTCCAAGTCTGTGTACCCCGCCACAACGGTCTCCAAATAGATGAGGCCTGGGCCTCCCATCCACAAGCCTCTGCCCTTCCAGGTGTCACTACTTGCCCTCTGATGTCCCAGAATACCTCCTCTCACCAGACCTGTCTTCCCATCAATGACTACCCAGTCATGCAGAGACCAGAGGTCTACTGATGCCTCCAGGCCTGCCAACTCAGTTCCTAAAATACTCAGCCTTTCCCACCCTATCCCAGCTGCAGCCTGGTCCAAACCCCCATCTCTTGCACCTGCCCCTACTATCTGAGCTCCCATGGCATTGGGAGCATTGGGTGGGGCGGGGGCGGGCGGGAGGGGCGGAGTCCTGAAGCCCAGCTCCCATTCGTCACTCTCTGGAATAGGCCCTGCTTTCTCCAGCCTACTCCGAACACAGCAGGAGCTTACTAAGAACAGGCTGGTATGAAACGGGGACCTCCTAGGAGCCAAGGCACCGAGCTAGGCCTCTGGGCCTCCACACATGCAGGCCCCAAGGACATGGGGGACTGGGGGAGACAGGGCCCCAGGGTTTGGCAGGCTGCAATGCATGGCACAGTCCCTCCGCTCATGATGTCTAGGACCACATTGGAACCAGGCTCAGGAAATGACCCCCACCCCAGCCCCTGACCACTGCTCCTCCTTGGAGACCAGCTGACCACAAGGGACCTCATGGTGACCAACACCCATGAATACTAGCTACCTGCCAAGGTCAGGGGCCGGGGGCTGTATCTCAGCTAGGCTGCTCCTACTATCCTGGCTCCCGACATAGGCAAGGAGCACCTGAGCGACTTTTAGAAGGGTATCACTGGCCTCTGAGTGACCAATGTGGGAAGCCAAGCCCAGAGGGGTTCTTGTCCCCTTGCGGCTTCCACTAAGGGGGTGTGAGGAGGTGGACTGTGGGCGCAGTCAGCCAAATCCAGGGAGCCAGGTCTCTCTCTCTCTCTCTCTCTCTACAAAGTGCAGCAACCATCAGGGGACTCAGTGCTGAGCGGACAGCATGTGGACATGAAGTGCTCAGCAGACTCTGGCCTCAGCCTGCCTGGTGAGGCAGGCCACAGGCAGCCTCAGCAGGAGGATGTGGGCGGCAAGCGAGCAAGACCACGGTCCACCAGTGAATCAGGGGCTCCACAAGAGGGTCTGCTAGTAGAACCTCAAACATGATTAAACAAGCTGGCAGAATAGGGGGTGGGTGGGTCCTCCTGGTGGTGGTGAGAATTCTACAAGACTGGACTGGGGTCCTATGGGGCAGGGGGAAGCACTGGGAGGTGACAAGACTCATGTCATCTTCCCAAGAACCAGGGATAGGGCTAGGAGGGGTCATGCCTGCTTTAAAAAAGAACATGTGGTCTCTCCCAGCACAGGCCAAGGCCCTTCACTACTGCACACAACAGTGTCCACAGCTAGAATGCTGGCATGTCCATACTATCCCCAGGGTGGGAAGGGACAGGCCAGACAAAGGAAAAGCAGCCAGACTCCTACTCCTTGGTCAATGACACCCTAAAGTTCAGTTACACCTAAGTAGGGAAATTCCCAGTGGCTGAATTAAGGACAGTAGTAGAATCTGTGTCTGAGAAGGAATCGGGCTGCAGGAACCAAGAAGCAACAGCCTTGGGAAGTATGATGATCCAGAGAGATGGCCTGGGGTACAGAATGGCAGCACGAGCGTGAGTGCAGGCATGAGACACAGGCTAAAGGTGCCAGGGAGAGCTTCCCAGCCCAGGCCTCAAATAGAGGAAAGAAAGAAAAATCCCTAAAATGTTTTTTTTACATCCGTTTTCTGGAAAATTCATCATGAGTGGCAGCTGCTGGGTGCCACCTGTGGTGCCTGAGAAAACAGGGTGTGATGGGGGCAAGTCACCCTCAGTGTACCGGCTACTTGGCCAGCAACCACCTGCCTAGCGAGACACAAACAGGCTCACTGGCCCTTGGCTCCAGCATACCACTGAACCAGTTAAGCCCTCTATCTGGCTGTGCCTAGCCCAGCAGCCCCATCGAGATTTCCCCACGTGCGCTGGCCAAATGCTCCCTGTATGCCAAGCCCCCGAGCCCCTTTTCTCCAATACTACCTGGGCCTCGCTGGCCCATGGCGCAGAGCATATGACAATGAGCCTCAGAACCCTGCTGGCAAAACTACCTCCCACAGAGGGCAGAGCCAGGGGCCACGACACAGGCCCCACAACTTCTCCCTTGTGCAGGAACATCTGCATGGGGTAACAGTGTACACTGGGAGGGATGGGGGCCAGAGAGGACACTGGAGAGGTCACTGGAGGAGAAGTCACTGGGAGGCGGGGTTGCTGGAAGGGGACATGGGTGGAGTCCTCATCCAGCCCCATAGCTCTGAGGCCCTGAACAGCCACTTTCCACATCTCCATCTGTTTTTGCCATCACTGTTCTGGGGGAACGCCAAGGTGGCCACAGGCCAGCCTCATATCCCCTCCAGCCCCTCGGGCTTCCTCTGCACCCCCCCAGATGACATCATCATAGTCTGAAGTCCTGCCCCCACACTCGGGGGTGGAGAGGACACAGCAGGCCCAAAGAGCCACCTACAGGAGGCTCCCTGTGGGCAGAGGCTGGCCAAGAATTCAGCTGCCAGCCCCACAGAAAGAGAGCCAGCAGCATGGTTGGACAGCACCCTGAGAGGTCCTGGGCCAAGCAGGGCCCACCCTCTAGGCCAACTGAACAACCCCCTCCCGAGGCCCCTGCAAGGCTCAAGCCAGTAACTTCCAGGGAACCCCCTCCTCCCAGATCAAGGCTGGAGAGGTCAGGCCAGCTGGGGTTGAAAAGAAGGGGTGACCTGGGGAAAGGCATACAACCATGACAGCACAAGACACGTGTCACCTTCCCAGGAACCAGGGATAGGGCTAGGAGGGGTCCCACTGTCTGTAGCACTAGACATGACCCCTATGGTCAGATATATGGGCTCTCACACCCAGCTCAGCTCTCTGCTGTCCCCTCTTCTGTTCAGAGAGAGGCAAGTGTGTTGGGAGAAGAGAGAAGACCCCTGGTCCACCTCACAACTTGGGCCATCTTTCTCCAACCCCCACAGTGCCCAGTAATCATTGGAAAGCCCAGTCTATCCCCATGCAGGGATGGTCCCAACTCCCCCTGCCTTCCAGATCAAACATTCTCAAGGGGAGGGCACCAGCCTTCCTTGGGCCTTCATCCTTGTCCTCAGGGCTCAGGTACCCAACAGCACATCCCTGTGCCTCTGGCTCTGATTTTCCTGCTATAAACAAGAGCTGAGGCAGGGGGATGCCTGCTTCCAGCACCAAGCTGAAGGTACCCAAGAGAAGGTACTGGGGGCTCCCTATCTGATGGACAAAGGCAGCTCCCTCTACCCTCCCCACACAGAGCTCTGCCCCTGGTTACATCCCATGCTATGAAGAGGGATGGGAGGGGACAAGAGTCTCAGGGCCCCAGCAGGGCGAGATGGAAGAGGGCTGAGACTATAAAGGTAAGTTGGTGTTGGAGGTGGAGGCCAAAGAGAAGGTCCTGGAGACAGCAGGTCTGGAACATTCCCTGGGCAGCTCTGAGGGCAGTCACCTTTAGAGTTGAGGAAACAGAGCCCCCAGACAAGCCAGGACTCCGTTCTGCAGTCCAAAGCTGCCTGCTTCCTCCTCTGCCAAGCAAGAGAGTGGCCTGGGTGCCCGCTCTCCAGTCCAAATGCTGGGCGGGGTCTGGGGGCCAGCCGGAGCCCCCAAGGAAACATCTGCACATTCCAGACGCATATGGTCAGCGACGGGGGCCAGTGCCAGGCCCCAGCCCAGCACCCCCACCCCGGTGCTGGCTGCCTCGCTGGAAACAGAGCTTGAGAATGAGCTCTGGAGGGGCCGCCTGCACATGTTATGTAACCTGCTCCTCCCAATCCAGCAGCTGTCTCCTCCCTCTGACAGGACCGTGTAGCGGGTGGCAGGCATCCCACTCCCCATCCAGGGCCCAGGACTCTAAACTCCTCCCTCTACCTCCAGTCCTCCTGGCTCCTGAAAATGCAGCCTCAGTGGGCCCTGCTGCTGTGAGCTGAGCCAGTCTGTCCTTTCCCTGGAGGCCCCACAGGCTCTTAGGAAAAAATAGTTTCCCCTTGGCCCAGCAAGGGGGATACCTAAGATGCTCCCT